TGCTATCCCCGGCAATAACGCTAAAAACTTGATCAGACCCACAATTACATAATTATTTAAGTCCTGAAAGATGGTCAAAAGCTTGACCCAATTTATATTAAGTTGCTAGTGCGCAAAATTAATTATTATGTAAAGTTGACAGAATGGTTCACACTTTAAGGGTACTATGTAAGTATACATATCATTTCAAGTAATATAGGACTCTAATGGAGTCCTAAGTATCGATCTCATAGGGATAGGCAAAACTCTTATAGGTTGGCTTTAGTAAAATCCTCTTTAAACTGCAGTTAACTTATTTAGGAAATGGTGAAAACTTTTTGCGGATTAACTAATCCTACAGAATTTAAAAGGAATGCTAAGTATGATAAGCAAATACAAAATACAAATGCAAGACAATCTAAAAAACTAAAATGTAAAGTTACCACTAAGTAATTCCAAACTAGCGATATATAAAAGAGTTCAAATTGTATAAAACATCTTTCCCCTTACAATGAGTTTATAATCAGTGTGTGAATCTAATAATTTAAAATATAATTAATGTATTATGTCAAATAGAAGCATACCTATCCTTTACACTCTCTCGAGTGCATAAAGAATATTGGCTAATCCAGAGTCAAGTCCCTAAACCTATGGTTAGGCTGGAAAGATGCTAGTTGTGACTCTAGAGCTCCACGTACCCTTTATCTGAAGGCTAACATCTTGTTTTAGATTCCAAACATCTGAATCAAATTGGAAGTTTTAGCTTGTCACTCCAAAATATCCAAATTATGCCCATCAAAACTTTTTTCTCTATTTATTTGTGCTTAACTCCATAGACTAGATTCTCATCCTTGAAAATAAATGTGATCCTTACTATGTTGAGAAAAGCATAACCCTTTCGAGTCATTATGTTTCACAACAGATTTTAACAAATCAATTGGCCAGATCGATAAATAAATTAAGCATAAAATTTATATCATCACAATTTATGAAATTAGAAGCACTTTTACTAAACTTTATTCCTACACATAACTATTCCTCATTCCAGGGAGAAAGACAAAGGAAACTACTAAGACCTTATGGAGAAGACATAACAACATATGGACTAATAAATAAATATAGGTTTTCAAAACAAGATTAAGTAAAATAAACAAAATACATAACTTATAAATGACTCACTCTCCTTACAATTCCACTCCAATCTCACTTAGAATTGTAGTGAAGAAGATATCTCTCACTTCTCCTCTTCTCCTTCAAATCTAAGCAAGCCACCAAGGAAATCCTTCAAGCCTCAAAGAATTTTCAAGTCCTTCTCTCTCTCATAATTTCTTCCTCCCAATAGATTATTCCTCCAAAAAGGCTCTCCTTGGACTCTCCAGGAGTCTCTTTAAATAGAGCTCTCATAATCACCAAGAGTCACCTCATGCACCCCTTCAAAATTCGTCCATATTCATTGAACCATCTAGAAAATCATTTTTGGTGCCTAAGCACCAAAATTTTGGTGCTTAGGCGTCACTGTCAGACACCTTGGTGCCAGGTCAACTTTGGCCTTTTTGCTTCTTTTGACTCCAAATTGCTCTAATTTCGTTCCAATTGCTCTACTTGCTCTATTTAGTGTAGCTACAACCAAAAACATCAAAAATACCTTTTATTAAAGTGTTATATCATTAAAAATAGTCATTAAATGTGGAAACAAAAGCAAAAAAATTTAGGCATGTCAGTAGCGAGCACAGAAGGAAAGGAAAATAAAGATCGCTTGATTGCAGGAGGAAAAGGAGAAAATTTTGGTGCTGACATGCTATCCTTAAAGAGTTTGGTCTCCAAATTCATACTTCAATTCTGGAAAAGCTATGGGTACTTCACGATCATCTTTTCTTCAATCTCCCAGGTTGCATCTCATTCTGAAAGAATATTCTGAAGCACTCTGACTAAAGGAATAGATCGGTGGCAAAGCTGCTGAACTTCATGTTCTGATATGTGATTTGGTATTTCTTCATAACATGGGCCACCTCAGATCATCAATGACTCATACCAGATAATATAAGTCATCATGCACATAATGTCGAAGTAAAAAAAAAAGTGAAATACATTGTATACTCCTGCAAGTCTTGGAGGAAGAGTCAAACGATATGAAACTCTACTGAATTTCTCCATCACCTCGAAAGGATCAATGAAACAAGGCTGAAGCTTTCCAAACTAGCTAAATCATGTAACTTTGGGCATAAGTGAAACCTTTAAGAAAAACATGATCTTCAACATTGAATTCAATCTCTCTATTTTTTGGGTCGATGTACTTCTTTTGTCAATCCTAGGCCACACGTAGTTGATCTCAAGTTTGACAAACCTCTTAGTGGCTTGATCCACTAATTGAGGTCCAAATATTCATCTCTCACCCACCTCAAACCAACAAAAGGGGGATCTACACTTTCCGCCATAAAGTATTTCATATGGTTTCATACTGATACTAGCCCCGAACGCTATAATTATAAGCAAGCTCTACCAATGAGATATAGTCTTCACAACTACCTCTAAAGTCTAGAATGCAAGCTCTCAGCTTCTAAATTATGAAGGGTGAGCTCCAACTGTCAATCCATTTGAGGATTAAAAACAATACTGAATTTTAATCTTTTTCCCATAGCTTCTTGCACTAGCTTCCATAGCCTGAAGGTAAATCTTCCATCTCGATCTGATACATAGCTGGTTAGAATTTTATATAGTTGACAACGTTATTTATGTAGATCTTAGCTAACTACCAAATAAGTCTTCTTGATTGGTAGAAAATGAGCTAATTTAGTTAATCTATCAACCACAACTAAAATATCATCATTTCGTTGCTTCGTTCTTGGCAAGCCAACAACAAAATCCACAGAATTCTCCTCCCATTTTACTTTGAAATGGGAAGTGCAATAGACCACCGGGTCTTCGACCATCAGATAGATCAAACACTTAGCTACAAACTCTGCTACAATAATTTTTATACCTGACTGCCAAAATAGCTTCTTAAGATCCTGATACATCTTAGTGTTCCACGGATGAGCTGAATATAAAGTAGAATATGCCTCACGGAGTATCTCATGTCGATGTCCTTCCTGATCTAAAATACACAACCAATCTTGAAATCATAAAGGGTCATCTTGATTGATATTAAATTCGAGCTTTGATCCATTCTTTGTTTTCTCTCAAAGTTGTAGTAACACTTCATCCAACATTTGAGCTACTTGAACACAGTCCACAAGTGTAGACTGAATTGAAAGTTGAAACATGTTGAGAGTAGCTCTTGTCAATATTATCTCGAGCTAAAGTCATTCCATCTCTCATGCTAGCTCTTCCTCCTGAGTGATCAACCATGCAACATCAAAGATTTTCTAATTAAAGCATCTGCAGCCACATTTGCCTTACCAGAGTAGTATTAAATCTCCAAATCCCAGTCCTTAATCAACTCGAGCAATCACCTTTGTTTCAAGTTCAACTTATTATGAGTAAAAATATACTTCAAGCTTGTATAATCAGTTTAGAGTTTACAACGAACACCATATAGGTAGTGCCTCCAAATCATTAGTGCAAATATAACTGCATCTAACTAACCCGACCCGCAATTACGCAATAATTTAGCTTTCAAAAAATGACCAAAAACTTGACCTAATTTATATTTAGTGACTAGTTTGCAAAATTGAAATATTATAAAACTTAGAAAATAGTTTACACACTATGGGTACTACGCAAGCATACAAATCGTTTCAAGTAATATAAAATTTTCTTTTAACGCCCTAGTATCGATCGCACAAAGAAGCGAGGTATGAATCTCCTTAAATTAATTCTAGTCAATTACTATCAGATCTTAATTTGAAATTTTTAAAAAGTTTGGTTTTTCTAAATTTACTGATTTACCATAAAATTAAATTAACTAAATTAAATAAAAACTTAATCTAAGAAGATTAGTTAAAATTTGGAAAGTTTTTATATAATTAAAATATATTTCCCCTTGCGCTGAGATTATAATCAGTATATGAATCAAATGTTTAAAGTTTAAAATATTGTATTGTGACAAATAAGACCATACTTGCATATTTACTCTCTCCCAAGTGCATAAAGAACATTGACTAAGTTAAAGCAAGTTTCAGCTTATGTGGTAGTGCTCGATATGAAAAAAAAAATTATATTTTATGAATACACATATCGGGGAATTTGCATATGCAACGCTTAAAAACTTAATAAACATTAAAAAATGACACCAAATCCTCCAGGTTCTTAAATCTCATTTCTCCCATGTTTTACCTTAAAACCAAGATTAAGCAAATGGCACTGGAAGATGATTTTACAGGATTTAGAGAAGATGTGCACGTGAAGGAGAATGTGAGGAAAGCAGAGCAAGACAAGGGTTAACTTCCTCAATGGTTTCAGGTAAAAGCGGACGAAAGAAGGATGAAGTTTCAGTGATTGCTGCACACCTACGATCCCACCACTATCTTCTCAACAAACTAACCATGATTGTATCACAGGCATTCAGTCACAAGGCTGACGGTTTTGTGTGAAATCGAGAGAGGAAGGGAGATTGGGAGGATGTTCCGCCCTTAGCCCACTCTTATAGAGCGTCGAGGTAGTGGTTCAAACAAATCGGGAAGGCGACAACGACTCAGAGAGAAAAATAAAGAAATCGCGAGTCTAAAATCAGGTAGTTGATAAAATAGCGAGCAAATAAGGAAAGGAGAAGAAAAGATTGCATGATAGCATGAGAAAAAGGAGAAAATTTCGGTGCTTACAATAATAGGCATGATAACAAAAGCAAAAATGGCTAACAGAATGCACAAACAAAATATATGCTTAAAGAAAATCCGAATATATATATAGACACACACACACACACAAACATAACCACATACGGGCACACATGCACAAATTCATAAAATCTTAAGAGCTAACTGAAAGAAAAAAAAAAATCTGCAACGGTCCTCAATGGTCAATTAAACATTATGTCAAACCTAGGAAAATTCAAAAACCCAAATTTCTTAATAACAAATAACTTGAGCAAAAAACTAAATGGCCTCGAGCAAAGAACTAATATAAACAGTACATAATAAGACCGAGATGGTTCAGACAGTGATGAGCGAAACAAGAACAAGACATGAAAAAATAAGACTGCAAAACACTATGAAATCATTATCCTGCCTTCAAATCAGACAGTATAGCCCAAAAACAAAGTCAGAATTACAGCAATGAGTGTCAGGTTAATATTTTAAACCAACCAGAATTCGACAGTCTTCCTGCCCAACCCATCTTTCGTGCGGAGAGTAAATAACATGGTATTGGCCTTCTTAGGATTATTCTCTGTCACAGAATGATTTTGAGAAGTGGCTAAGAACTGAGACGTTGGACACTATGTTTTGAGATTCTTTGCCATCTCATCAACGTCCAATTCAACAGAAAGCACAGAAGAGTCTTTTTCCATGGCAAGATGGCTGTTAGATGCAAAACATTATATACCAGAGAAAATATGTATCATAAAATTATTGTTAATATAAAAATTATAAGAGACTTAAGGGGAAACCTATTCTGCACTGGCCCGTGATCAACAGCTGATCTCATAGCATATATGACCCGTCCAATAATGTCACTCATTGGAACTGGACCGAACAATCTGCTGTCCCTTGCTTCCTGGGTCCAGGGAAATAGAAACGGATAAACGGATGAACGATGAACGGATAAAAGATGCATTTGGCTAATAGCAGAAGTTCGTCAAAATGATAGAAAGTGCTTATAACTTAGGTATCATCCTAAAAAAATAGTATCATTTGTAAGAGATTGTGATTAATATATCTAAAACGTCAACATTATCCATCACATAAGATCATTAAGCAATTTCTCTCTCTGTATCTTCGTTATTCTGCTTCCTAAAAGCGAGTCTTGTTTTGAGGGGCAAAGCCAGAAAATTATTTTGGTGGGGGCACAAACTATCAATTTTAAAAATACGCTTTATCATTTTTATCAGTTCAAGATAAAATAATTTACATAACTTTGATAATTCCAACATAAAAGATTGCGTAAATAAAATATAGATTTTGATTTTTTAATTTATTTCATAATCTTGATAAAATTATTAAATTTTATGATTATAAGTTTATTTATTTATTTTGCAAAAATTGAAAACTAATCAAATATAGTAGAAAAATTAGATTAAAATATCCCGAGTAATTAAGAGTAAAAATCTATGCATATATTTATGTTGATTATATGTAAACATTGAGTAATTATCTTCAATATTTGTGCATTATCTGTAAATTAAAATGATTTATATAATTTTTTAAATAAAATAAAAATAAATGTTATAATATTCATTAATATCCATCTACTACTACTAAGAAAAATTTAATATAATTATTAAAATTTTATACTCAAATAATAACGAAGAATCTAGCAAATAAACTAGTTAATTTGTTTGACTAAAGCTCAATATTAACTTAAAATTTAATATAAATTATAATAAAAAGTATATTTTAATTTAAATAAATATGCTTAAAATTTAATTTAAAATTAACTTACTAATTTGTATTATTAAAAAAATTATAAATTAATTAAAAACAAACTAAAAATACTAATTCCAAATTTTAACGTTTTAGCTTAAATAATTAATATGCACTTTTGAGTGAAACATTAGAGTTCACAAATTTGCACATTTATAAATGCATAGAAAGAATAATAAATAAATCCACAAAAATTTCATGCAATATGCTTAAGCTTTCTACCTTTTATATTTTTAGTCCCACTTCCTAAAGAGAGAACTGAAAAGTAATGTTTATATGAAAAAACACAGCATATTAGATTAAACATTTGGAGTAATGTGCAGGGGTGTAGACATGAGAAGTGGTTCTTAAATTTATCAAAAAGGCTTCAAAACATTTAAAAAAAAAAAATCTAGACACAGTTTAATTATTTTAATTTGTTAAGTTTTAATAAATTATTATTTACCTAACTGCTCAATAAACTCAAGCTTGAGTTACCTAGGAGCTTGAACAGAAATGCACCCCGAAAAACTAAAATAGGGTAATTTATTAAAAAAATATTAAGTATATTGGGTTGGGTCAGTGGGGCAGGGGCCTTAGTGCCCCCACTGTAGCACCGTCCATGCTCATTTCATAATACTCCTGAAACTGATTTTAGGGGTGAAAAATCAAAGACACTGAGAAACCCACACAACCACTACTACAATTTACAATCTGAAACACAAATCATAATCTACACGAAGCCTCAACTTCAGCTTTTCTATACAACAACAACAACATCAACAAAATCTTTATCCCACTAAGTGGGGTCGGCTACATGAATCTTTTTTCTCCATTGCGTCCTATTTAGTGTCATATTTTCATTTAATTCTAATAAATTAAGATAAGTTTTTATACAATATGCCCAAGTCTTCCTAGGTCTACCTCTGTTTTCTTAATATAAGTCGAATCTAAAACATCTACTCTTCTGATTGGATCATCAGATGGTCGACGTTTAATGTGACCAAACAATCTCAGACGACTTTCTCTAATTTTGTTCGTCACTGGAGCTACACTAATCCTATGACGAATATATCTTTCATTTTGCATTTTGTCCCTAAGTGTAAAGCTACTCATCCACCTAATCATTCTCATCGCGACAACATTTAACTTTGTTTCATGCTTCGCTTTTAAAGGTCCATTCAGCGCCATAGAACATTGCAGGTTTCACCAGCATCTTATAAAATTTTCCTTTCAATCTAAGTGGTACTTTTCTATCACACAATAGGCCCGAAGCATTCTCATCTCGACAACACTTTTCTATACGATCAAGTAAAATAAGAAAGCAGGAGGAAGGTCAAAATAATATAATATAAGAGTTTTAAAGTGCCATGCAAAGTGGACTGGACAGAGGCTCATGGTCTTACTAGAAAGTAGCGACATAATTAAAAATTTGATTTAATAAAAGAAGAAAAAAGCAGTAGCAGTGATTGAAGTTAATAAAAAGTTATATGGTCAGCTTTAAATCCTTATCTTTTAGTTTTATGTATTGAACCATTGCTATTAAAAAAAGCATAAATCAACAGAAGCAAAAATTACTCCGACTTTATATACATATATTGTGAAGGCAAAGTCAAAATTTGCACAAATTCATATGTAACTTCAGAAATTGAACAAGAGGCCTACTGAATTAAACCTATTTCAAGCATCCAGTACGATGCAAAATATTCAAGTGGACGTGCAAATACTTCAATAATATATTGATCAACTTTAAGATCCTAATGAGTGAAACATGGGCAGTCATAATATAAAAGATCTGCTTGATAGAAAAACAAAACAGGCTAGCATGAAAATTTTAATTATTGTTTCAATAGTCAGTTAAAGAAATGCGTTAATGTTAAGGAAAACAAGACAAACAAATAATAGATTTATTTTATTTGAATAATCCAGGGTTTAACAGATTGGATCCCTCCGACAAATCACGATGATCATGCAATATGTAATATAAGAATCACAGCTAATTTCATACCAAGAATAGGTTAATTAAACTTAAAAAATAACAAGAGATACCTTTGGCTTTAAAGACTCATCATCCGACAAAACCCAACACTGATCTTTCTCTAAAATAAATGGATCATCCTTTTCATCTTTGGAAGCCATCTCATATCCTTCTACAGCAGCCAATCTTCTGACAATGCGGTCATTGGGCTTCTCAGGATCTTTCATCACAACAACATCTCCAATAAAGACTTGCCTGTAATAAAGAGAACAGATTATTTTTTTGCAATTAAGTTAAGGAAGATTAAAAACACATTCTCAATAACAGATGGCATGCTAATTGAGACTAATCATTTGCAAAAGGTATGTCTCAAAATGATTTCATTCAACGCATTTTGATATTTAGTTAGCGGTGGTTGCACTTATGGATTAGATTGCCATGACATTTGCTATTGTTGCCAAACTCAACCTAATTCCAATACTTCTCTTCATAACCAAGTAATGAATTATAGCCTCTACAACCACTTGATGTCAAAAAATTCTCTCCAAATGGAGTCCTGAATGAAGAAGTCCACAAGGAACTCCTTCCAAGCTTTAGGAGTGTTAGAACAACAAATCTGGTTTACAAATTGAAAAGCTCCATTCAGGGTCTCAAACAACCGTTAAGAGAATGCTTTGAACATTCGCTAAAAGCAATTCACATTGATCACACGATCACTCTATAAATATGAGGATGCCAACAAATCCGGTTTGCAAATTGAAAAACTCCATTTAGGATCTCAAATAATCGTTAAAGAATGCTGTGAACATTTCGCTACTGTGATTTGTCAACAGGGTTACAAGCGATTCATAATGTTCACATGATCGCTCCATAAATGTGAGGATGACAAATCAACAAAACTAATTCTATATGTTGATGATCTTGATGACATCATCCTAACTAGTTACAATATTCTTGAAATAAATTCTTTAAGGAAAAAAGATTTTTAATGAATTTGAAATCAAATATCTTAGCTCCTTGAGACACTTTCTTCACATTGAAGTGGCTAGAAATAAGTCTGGATAACAATATCACCAAGGAAAATGTTATTGACCTTTTGGAAAAAAACTAGGCGACTTGGGTACAAACTAATTACAACCATAATGATCATAATGTAAAGCTGAGTGACCAAAGCACTATCACAACTAACTTATCTATATATTTATACATTTTGCACACACAAGTCTTGATATTTCTTTTGCTATTAGTATGGTAAGTCAATTCATGCATGCGCCTTATAAAATGCATCTTGATGCTGCACCACTAATCATATAGTATCTAAAAGAAAGTTCAGTGAGGGAACTGTGCTTCAAAAAAAGGGGAATCTTCTGAAATTGGGGCATAGATTGGTGTTCATTAGATTAGTTCCACAGTCGACAGAAGATGAACATCAGGATTTAGTTCTAATGTTTGGAATAACTTAATGGCATGGAGTAAGGAATAAAATATTGCAGTCAAAAGTAGTGTAGAAAGTGAGCTAATATCATTTGGCTAATTGGGTTAACATTTTAATCTTGCAAAAGCCATTTTAAAATCTTCCTGTCATCACTATGATAACATAAAATATACATTGTGACAATAAGATTGCTATCAATATTGCTCATAATCCTATCCACCAATGATCGTATTAAACATGTAAAAGCACATTGACATTTCATCAAAAACGAAAATTGAAGCTAACTTACTTTCCCTTATAGCGTTTTCTCAGAAAGAATCTGACATTATGATTCAGTGATTACTTAAACATTTGTTCGAAAAAGAAGATGACAATGTTAGAATATTTAATATCTAAAATCCAACTTCAAAGTGGAGTGTTGACGACTCCATCTATAGGTTATGAACAGGGAATCAATCCGTTCAACATTTGGTTTTTTTCTTTCCTGTTGCATAAGATTTATGTGATCACTTCCCTATCGAAATACACTTATTTATCTTAAATAACCTTGGAAATTAATGATTTCCCCATTAAGCTCACACTAATATTATTTGGAAAGTGCCAAATCATGCTAAATAAATTTTTGGAAGTAATTAACTTTCAGCAATTGTCCGGTCCAAATCATGGATGGTAACATTGTTCTTCTACTTCTTGTGTTTTATTACTTCCTAGCAATATTTTATGAGCACGGAGGCTGGATGAATCACCTTACATCACCTGATCTCACAGACACCAAGGCCTTTGAGCTTTAATGCAACTCATTGAAGTTAGAAAACATGTTAGCCGCTTGGGGTATTAGAGCCAAATTCATGCTAATGTTTAAGAACTCAAGGTACCTGGTGTTGATGGTAAAGTAATTCAAGGATGGCATCCCACTGTCACAGCTATCTTACATCAATTTAGGGGAAGTTCACAACGAGAAAGAGAGGTCTACGGGAGTTTGAATTTTACGAGAGATCTAGTAGCAGTGACCAAAAAGGAACAGAAGGAGAGGGGCGCTATTAGAAATCATGAAGCTAGGAAGTTGATACCGAGGAAGAATCTAAAGAACTTGATGATAGCCTAGTGTATCTCTCTATGCATTAGTAGAACATATCGCAATCTATGTTGATAAGGCATGACAGGCCAAGATGGTCGCTAATAATAGAGGTTGCCCTTAGTTAAAATTTCTTTTTCTCCTATATTTTGTGCATATTCACCAAGATGCTAACACAAGACTTTCATTACTCTACTGGAAAGTTTAAAGATTAGGCCTTAATTGTTGCTAGGTTAAGAGTGGCAAGACTTTTGTTATGAACTGCAGCTAACAATGCCTTTGTCTTCACACTAAGCCAGTCCCACTTTAGCTGATGGCAACTTGAACCCTTCCCACCAATAATAAAGCTAGGATCCATACACATTGGATGTGCGGAATTCAAGAGAATAAAGGGCAAACAAGGAAATTTGAGAGAAACCAATCTAATATCTTTGAATGGCTAAAAGAATACCTAAGAGAGTCCTTTCATAGTTACAGAAGCACTAAATGCTCCTAGAAATTAATTCCACAAATTATCCTCAAAACCATTTTGAGGTTTTATGACTTCACTTGATCATGTTCCTGTCATTGGCAAATTAAATCTGAGGGCAGTAGTGATGAAAAATAAATACTTACTAAAATTACATTAATATTGATAAATTTTATAGAAGGGCTCATAGTTGTTTGTCTCAATAAAAGTGACAAAAGAGGAGTTCATGGAGGTATGAAGATTGTTTCTCAAATGGAGAAAAAGGAGATTACGTCTTTGCCAAAAATATTGTTCAAAAAAGAAAGAAATCATCGTCAGACTCCTCCAAACCTAACAGCTCTAAGGCATCAAGTGAGTATGATCTGGGTTTTTAACTATTATCGTCTCCATCATTCAATAATTTAGTAGTTAATTTTCATTTGTTACGAATAGTAAATTTCATGTCCTCAGACTTGCAGGTCTTCCATAGGATAACTCCAGAAGTTTACAACTTGTAAGCACTTCAATCTTTTTTTTTTTTTAAGTCCTTAGTTGGGAGAGCTCATCCTAAATATAAAAAATTTTCAGGTAACTTCCACTTTCATGGTACGAGAATGCTAACGTTAAATTCTGAGTTGACACTTCAAGCGTAGGAGCGTAGTAACATGAGTTTTTTCCTCCTAAATTCTATAGAGTGCCTAATTTTCAGTTTCTTCCAACATATCCAAAAAAGTCAAGTGCAACTCCTGATTGCTCTGTATCCAATTGGGAAATACCTCGGCAACTATAGAATGGGTCTCTCAGGTACTAGATGTAGAAAAGCAGATCTCAACTATGACTAATACTTGGCAACCAAAGTCCCGGGAGAATAGTTTCCCCAGTGATTGTAGATGTTGTGATTTAGTAGGCCCCTAAAGTGTTGAAAAGCGCTTGTCTGCCCAATCACCAGGGTTGTTAGATATGCTTTTCGATACCGCAATTGACCAACCCGTATTAACGAAAGCAAATATTATTAAGCAAAACAACTAGGGTTTCAATCAAGACTCAAACAGAAATGAAAACATAACATAAATCTCTGGCTAGTGAGAAGAGAGACAACCGGGTGACCGTGGTGAGATGGGCTGTGAGAAGTGGGAGTCAGTTGGAAGGGAGCAAGCTAATTTGTGGGTAGAGTTGGGAGAGGGTTTGGGAGGGGTTGCGGTATTGGAAATCAGTAGGGAAGTGAGGATAGAGGGTGCTAGGTGGAGTTGAGGGTGATATCGGGAGAGGTTGGGTTGTTATGGTGTCTGTAGGAAGGTTGGGAGGTGGTAAACGACGAGCTAGAAGAGTTGAGGTGAGGTGTGATAGCAGCATCGGGGGGGGGGGGGGAGGATTCCAGCAATAGCAGGCAGATTCCCCTGGGTTGTTGGCAGGGAATCAGGGATGAATGAAGGGGATAAACAGCAAGCTGGCGGCTGATGACTGGAAAGGGAAAAGAATGGCAGGCCGGCGATTGGAGCAATTGTTGGCTGACAACTGGGATAAGTAGAGCGGAGAACGTAAGTAAATCCACGAGGATAGTCACCACCTCGGAGCAGGATAAAGCTGGAGCACCATTGTCCTCGAATAAAGCACTAGCAAAGGAAGAAACCAACAGATAGAAAATCAGAAACCCAACAAAATATAACTCTAGACTCAGCAAACACACATATTAACAAAGGATAGATATGCAGGAAAATAAAAAGGAGGGGGGAAACTTTGGGCGACAATTCCAGCCCCTGCTGGACCGACCCTATCCTGTTGAGCCCCTGGCTGATTCAGTTGGACCCAGCCCCGCGTCAGTCTCCCGAGATTGGAGGGGGCTTCGAGTTCATCCGTCGAAGCTTCTGAATCTTCGTAATACGACGCCAAGTTCGCAACATTGAACGTGGCTGAAACATTATAGTCTCCTGACAAATCAATCTTACATGCATTAGCATTCAGCTTTGAAGTATTTTGAAAGGTCCATCTACTCTGGGCTTGAGTTTTCTGAATGCTCTGATATCAAAACAAGTAGGGAAAACAGTAAAAACATGAAAACAAGTTTTCATTAACATTAAAATAGTATTACAACATGACTCGAAGGAAATAACAACACAAGATACAAAACGACACAAAAAGCATTTCTAGATGCGCTCCATTGGGTGGTAGAGGTCGGCTAGAAGGATAGGAAAGATTAGGAGGGATGACGACAATCACGCGAAGGCGGGTGGTTGTGAAGGAAAGGTGCGGGACTATAGGGACAATAAGTGGGAAGGGTAGTAGGTGATCGACAACAG